GGGTGAAAAAGCGGGGGGGGGGGGGAATGTAAAAATCAGTGTCAAACTCCTTTTGCATGTGAGGCTGGGCTGAACAGGGCTCCCAGGGGCTCTGTGTGCCAGTTGGGTGCAGTTTGTGAGCCCACCTTGAAGCACACAAGCTAGGAAGGTCAGCCCACAGGTGCCTGAGGTCACGTAGATGTGCATGCCAAGCTGCAGGGCAGGCTCCCTCCGGGACCTGGTTTTGTTGGCACGACAAGAGAAATGGCTCCTGTTCACCTGGTCCTGTGTAGGCTTTGGCCCAGAGGCCACAGCTTGCAAGCACATGTACCCCAGCCCTGGCCACACCAACCTGGGCTGGAGCCCAGTGATGGGACTGGTACAGCGCCGTGGGTCATAGCTGGGGGGGGGGTGAGTAGAGCATGGCCAAGGACTCAGGATTTTTTGCCTTTCCTTGAGGGATTTGAATCTACTGCTCCCTCAGCCCGGGATGGTCCATGTGGGAACAGGCACCAGATCTCCTGCCCCATGGTCCGCGTAGCTGAAGCTGAAGCAGATGCTCCGTTACAAAAGCTGCTGTGAATGACAGAGTTTGTGCAGATTCAAGGCACAAGTGCATGGAAAAGCAATCCACCGGGGGTTACAGAATACACAGAAATGGCTTCCAGCTCTGGAGAAAGCTGATAGCTGAGAGTCCTGGTGAGAAGACCCTCTTTCCTAGGCATCTCCTTATGGTGACTGCTGGGATACTGAACAAGAAGGACTCTTGGCATGATCCAGGAGAGGCTCAATGTCAAGGGAGAACAGACAGCAGTCACCTGAGGCAAAGGGACAGTAGATGAGGGAGGTGACTGGATGAGGAGAAAAGGAGCGCTTTGCTCTCCCTGCAGAGAACAATCACTGAATAAAAAACTAACACAGGGCAGGGACCTGATTGCCAGATAAGCCATGCCCAGTGCCCCAACCCTCCCATGAGAGTCTCTGCCAAGAAACAGCAGCACAAACGCAGCCATTGTGACCCTTGAACCACACAAAGAGGTTGCAGTCTCCAGCTCCCAGTTTCTCTGGGTGGCCTCACCTCAGGAGCTGGCACTGCAGGTGGTTAAGTCTTCCCAGCACATCCTATTGCTCACCACCTTGGCAGCTGAAAATCAAACTCAGGATTACCCCCTCTCCCAAGAAAGGGATAGATGGCATTACAGTCTTTGCAGAACAGATGCTGAAAGCTGCTCCCAAAATGAGCACGTTGTTTAACTTCAGGTGCTGCCTGAGAGAGCATCGCCATGTCCACAGCTCTCTGCTGACTGCCTGCCATGATGGACAACTCCCCGGGCAGTACCGAGGGCTGGAGGGTCTCTGGTTTTGCAGTCGAAGGACATGAACAAAATAAGCTGTACCAGTGGCCCATGCCATCCTCCTCACTGCACCGTGTCTTTATTTCCACAGCCAGAAAAACCACCAAAGTAGGCAAAGCTGTGGATCTAATTTTGAGGCAGAGCAGGGCTGCGTACCTGCTCCCCTATTTGTAGGGGGAGTGTGTGTGGGGAGGTAGTCCTCTTTGTTACAGCTCCCCATTCATGGAGCCACTGAGGCTGCAATGAAAGGCAGCATGAGACTAGGGATCACAGATGAAAACTGTATTTTTATTTAATACTAAGCAAATGTTTTGAATTGCCAAATGCTGAGGGAAACTTCATCATTACCTTGTATTAGCTGGGGAAGCCCAGGGAGAGAGGGATTCACACCATACACGTTCCCTCCAGTTA